AGGATATTATTATTATTATTACTATTATTATTTTATTATTATTATTATTAATTGTGACCATAATTGACAAAAGGTACCTTATGGTGGATTTAAAAATTCATCATTATAATGGAAAATATCAACCTGTGAGTGCTTTGTTGGGCAATCATTGTTTCTAATAGTTATATAGTAACTTTTTGTATCCTGTGGAGTAATTTTATGATAAATGGAGCTCAGGAAGTTAGATTTTTTGGGTTTAATGACAAATTTCACTACCCGCCATAAGGTACCTTTTGTCTATTATGGTCACATTTTATTATTATTATTATTATTATTATTATTATTATTATTTTTATTTATTATTATTATTATCATTATTATTGTTATTATTATTAAGAGAGTGCGAAAGGAATATTATTATTATTATTATTATTATTATTATTATTGTTATTATTATTATTGTTATTGTTATTTTTATGAGAGTGAGAAAGAACTATTTTTATTATTATTATTGTTTAGTGTTGTTCTAGTTCTTTGGAACTAGAACTAAAAAGTCATTTAGTTTCATTATTTTTAGCTAGTTTTAGTTCCTAGAACTAAAACTATAACTAAACTGACGGTTTTCTAGCTATAGAACTATAACTAGAACTAGAACTAATAGCTAACTCTTCTTTGAACTATAACTAGAACTAGAACTATTTGTAAATTAATGTTGGTACTAGAACTAGAACTACAACTATTATTTTTATGGAACTAATGCTAGAACTACATGCTATTGACTACATAAAATGTTGCCAACTAGCTTGATTAGAGCTTATGTCATTGATAAAAGTGTCAAAATAAAGGAAAGAGAACTAAACTAGAACTAGAAGTACACTAGAACTAGGGAAACCAGGAGCTTGGAACTAGAACTAGAACTATAACTATGTAGAGTACATGCTTGGAGCTAGAACTAAAACTAGAACTGTACAAACTAAAAATTTGGAACCAGAACTACAACTAAGACTAAGCAAATTAAAGGCTTAGAACTAGAACTAAAACTAGAACTATTTGAAAAGTAAGAACTAGAACAACACTATTATTGCTGTTATTATTTTTATGAGAGTGAGAAAGGAATATTATTATTATTATTATTATTATTATTATTATTATTATTATTATTATTATTATTATTATTATTATTATTATTATTGTTATTGTTATTATTATTATTATTATTATTATTATTATTATTATTATTACAAACTAACCAAAATACACCAAGTAGGACAAAAGTAGTTTAGGAATAGAAATAGTGTTGGAAAAAAAATTAATGTAATAGTAATTTGTTCATTTTAGTGCATAATAATGTTATGGGGGAAACTGTCAGCCATATTCATTGATCTCCATTTGGTACGTGTGCCCCTAAGACATAAGATTGTGGCTCTCAAAGTTGAGAAAGTTAGATGAGTCCTAATCCACCCTAATACCTGAGCATAGTTAGTGTTCCATTATTATTATTATTATTATCATTATTATTATTGTTATTGTTATTATTATTATGAGAGTGAGAAGGAATATTATTATT